GCATAACGTTTTTTTAAAGATAAAAGATGGGATTTTGAGAAGATCGGCAGGAACGCGAAGAACGGAGGCTCGAGAGATCACCAGATTTGTTTTCTTTCTCTCCTTTAGCTTCAACTTCCTTCAATGATGTTGATTAAGATTTTCTTTGTAGATTMAAGCATGAACTAAATACATTTTCTGGGGCATTGATGTAGCCTTTATCGAACTTGACTCTTCTATGTTCTTTATTTGRTTTTCTTTCTAAACTTGTTGGTTGTGAGAACTTTTTATATTCTTAATGCATTGTTGAGATTTGACCATTCTTTACATTGATTCATTGTCATAAATCGAGGTTGAGAAACAAGATTATTGACTAGAGTTGAATAGTTCTCATGAAATTAAAGCAAGAGATAGAGATATTCTTRTGAATTTTGTGGCATAGTTTTTGGGTTCTACGTGCTTAATTATTTGAATCGTCGGAATAGTCATGAAGATATAGATACTCTACTTTTCGAAGAAAATCGTTATTGCTTGAGAAATAATATTAAGTCAATAGGGTAGAATCTGCCAACATCCATTGTTTAGAAAAGTTTTGAATAAAGTAGTAGGAAGAGTTAAAGGGTGATATCGGTGAAGTCATGCTCTAGAGTTTAATCCGCTTGAATTTACTCTTGATTCTTTATAGTTGTGATATTTTCTTTCGTTATTGAACTAGTTTCTTTTAAAACTACTTCATTTCACCACCATTAAACGTTTGAAATTCAAATAAAATTGAAGTGGAGATTTTAGTAATTAGTAATCATTCATTCCCTGTTGAAACATACTTTACTTACTTCTATATTACTTGTGACGATTCGTACACTTGCAAATTCAAACAACATCAATCAAGTAGCTCCGTCCCAGATCATCCCTAATGGGTGGTCCACGTTAATCAGTTACTTTATCCTATGGTCTTACCTTGGGGGTGACCAACCTATAACCACGGCCGACTTTATGTCGCTTTATTATCTTAAAAATAGCTTCGACGATAACTTTCATTTCTATGTTAGCTCGCGAACCAAATTCTCATTATGGGTCCTTCTTCGGTAAAGCACTGAAAGGATGAGTGGTTCCTTGTYGGYGGTGACTGGCTAGCTTGGCATGGCCGAGGATTATATTTTCCTATCCCGATAGAGTGTAGGGAGCTAGGTAAGTAGATTCTCGAGCTCTATCGAGGCTTTCCCATGTCATGCTCTGAAATCCCTCTATTTCTTTTTCTTGGAGCTGTGAACTCACCGCTGAGGTGTTGGATTTCTACCATACTATCATTCAATTATCAGATATCGAGCRGTGGGGCCAAAACCTGGTGAAGGAGCAAAACTTGGTAGATTTTGGCTTGGCTCCTCCCCATTGATCTTCAGGTAATTGTCGGAAGCTATCTTAAATTCGCATCCCAGTCAACAACCTTAAAAAGAAAAGWAAAAGTAAAAGACAACCTTAAAAAAGAAAAGAAAAAACAAAAGACAATCTTAAAAAGTTGCATCTACTCTAAATCCTATTTTTATTGGTTGATAAAGTTGCAGAGATCATCCCGAGGTAGAGGCTCTAGTTCCTGCGTCATTGCCTCTTAATGAGATGTAGTAGCACACACATGATACCCGCTGCTCCCCTTTGATCTCACCTATACCTCTAGGTGTTGGGAACTTCATAGATTGGTGGTATGTGGAGGGTATTGCCTTGAGCGTTGTTGCGTCCACACAACCGTGTTGACAACACGTGCAAGTATACACAAAATTATCAATTGTAGTATGAAACGAGGTCGAATCCACAKGGACTTTGGATAATATTGTAAACGATGTTCGTAGATACCAAAATGTAAAAACAAGGAAATATAAGTGATTGGCTTCGTATGTAAAAGAAATTTTATAAACAAAGCCGTAAACACTCTCAACAGCAGACACAGTTCAAACAACTGATGACAGGAAGAAGGTTACACCACAAAATAACGGAAATGGGTGGTTAACAGATATGAAAAAGTGGGGGAGATTTACCACGTTTTCACTGATTTCTCAATCTACACTCTAGCTCGACAACATTCATTAATGCCTAACTCGACATGGTTCCCTCCCAAGACACCCAAACATGGATACCCACAACTCCCATTGCTAAGTTCTAAGCAATAGAAACAAGTTCTAGGCACGATTAGGGGACCACATTCTTGTGCATCCACAAAATACTATAGAAAAATACTAATCACAAATAAAGCAAGTCAACATTCCATAAGCCCTCCTAGGTCAATACAGAAGCTAGCATACAGAATAGAGCGGCCAATAATGTTCGATAAGATAAAGAAAATAAACATAGCTTCATTTAAAAATGAACAAAATCAGCTAGAGGTTTGGTTKCTTATCAGCTACAACATGTAAATCTCCCCCAAAATGGGGTTTAGCTCATGGATAAAGAAGAAAATACAATGGATAAAGGAAGAAGACAACACATTTCAAGGAAATAACAGAAAAACCAAGGAAAAAATGACAGCTCGAAGCAGCAGCCGAATATCCCACTCTGTCGTCAGCTTTCTCCCCGAAATGGAAAGATTCCTCTTCCCTTGTCGTTTCAGCTCTCAAAAGTATGTCTCCATTGGGATCTGTGTGTGGCGGATAGGGAACATGTCCCTTTTATATCGGGTTCCATTTTTAGGGCACCCAGCTGAAGATTGTACGGACATGGTAAATTCCCGTGTTTGGCTATTACTGCACATTATTTCCATGCTCCAGCATTGCTTCGCTCCAGCTTTCGTCTGCTCTACCTCGACATGCTTCATCTACTCTTCTCTGGACTTAACACCCTCTTCATGCTTTATCTTCTTTTTCCAAACCTGTGCATTTAAGCCCAAAAATAAGAGAGTTTAGGGCATTTTTTAGCCAAAGCATTCAAGACCTGGRACTTTGGCTCGATACTCGATTTATAAGATTTTTCATGATGTTTAAGAGCTTAAARCTGACATACTTTGACAACTCCTTGTATAAAACTATCCAAATAAATACTAAAATAACTCTCTTTTGGAGAGTTATCAAATGTGTGTATGGTTGGCCTCCCCAATATCGTATATAGGAGGATGAGTAGTCGACACGAGGAACTCCTTTATTTTAGTGCTTGGCCCACTTCCGAATGTTACTGACAACTCTATCTTTCCTTTTGGGATGACCCGCTCTCCCCCAAACCCTACTAGTGGTGCAGGGCTACTCTTAAGCACTTTGTCTCCTAAATTCATAGCTTTATAAGCTGTTAGGGAGATGATGTTGGTTGAGCTACCCTCGTCCACCAAGATTCGATGTACCTTTCTATTGACTATTTTTAGGGCAATAACCAGTGTGTCGTTGAGTGGGTGGAAAAKGTGGGTTGTCTCATCCTCTGGAAACTCGATTTTGGGGGGTTGCCCTACAAAAGATGCATGGTAGACTTGGCAATGCCCCAGGCTTGCCCTAGCTTCCCGCACGCTCGCTTTTCTCTTCTTGCCTGATTCTCTCTCCATTGGACCTCCAATTATTGTCCGGATATCGTGGCAGGGGACTTGTTGTCATTCTCTGTTGCTTTGGGATCTTCCACATACTCTTTGAGATATCCTCTCCGGATAAGTCCTTTCACCTCTTATTTGAGATCAAAACAATTCTGCGTGGCATGCCCGTGGTCTCGATGGAAGAGGCAGTATCGCCCATTGCTTCTTTTATTCGAAGGTGCTTTCATCCTCTCTGGCCATCTAAGCAATCGTTGATCCTTGATCTCCATTAGTACTTSTTCAAGTGGGACTGTAGTTGGAGTATATTTCTCGAACTTTCGAGGCGGATACTTCTGGCTAGTTCGATCTCGTTTTTTCCATCTCGACCTTTGTTGTTTCTCACCAGACCTTTCTATTTTCTGGTCGGCTTGCTTTCCTTYGGGTTCCTTTTTTGAGTAAAAGAATTCCCCAGCACTCATGTATTTATGGGCTCGGCTCAGTGCTTTTACAAAGGTGTTCAGGGTCTTTTTCCTGAATGAAAACGATAGGTGCTCATCTTTGATGTTGGACATGAAAGCTAGTAGCGATACCGCATTAGTAAGRCCTTCTACCTGTAGTTTCTTCTCATTAAATCGAGCCACATAATCATGAAGACTCTCTGTTGTTCTCTGCTTTATGGTCAGGAGGTAAGCTACTGGTTGGCTTCGATTCCGTCCTCCTATAAACTGGGTCACGAATGCCCTAGCCAGACTTTTGAAGCTTGAAATTGACCCTCGCTTCAATTGTTGAAACCATACCCTAGCCGACCCGCTTAGGGTAAAGGAGAAAATTYAGCCTCTGATCGCCTCTGATACCCCGTAGATGTCCATCCATTCTCTGTAGGCGTCGAGATGATCTACTGGGTCAGCCGACCATCGAATTGCATTATTGCCGGTAACTTGAATTTCGAGGGTACCTTCTCCCCCATTATTTCTTCCATAAATGGAGAATCTACTTGGTCTACTAACTGCTTGAGGTCGAACCCCTTTTCCTTCTAGCTCAGTTATTTTTCAGATAGTTCGGGTCGTTCCACTGGATTTTCCTTGTCGAGGTCTATCAATCTGAGGTTTCCTCGATTATTCTGCTCCTCCTTACCTCCATTAGGTACCAGGGATTTCGGTTGTTTTTTGTTGTCCTTAGGCTGACCTCGCGAGTCAAAAATCCGGGTTTTCCGCCTGTCATTCCCCCTYAACTTCTACTTGCTCTGCGCTTTGTTTGTCGACTCCTCAACTTCACTYAGTGTTGTGATTTTTTGCTTCTGGAGGTCTCTGACGAGGGGTAGTAGGCTTGTCTCCCTCTGCTCCAGCTGCTGAAGTAGTTGGGTCATGCGCTGGCACATGCCCTCGACCTTTTCTACCAGAGCCACGAACTTATTTAGGGGTTGTTCAGGAACTTCGACTCTAGGGACCTCAGACAACTCTTCCCGATGTTTCAGGTTGAGTCGGCTCACCTTGCCCTCAACTCCGCCTAGTAGAGGGTCATCCATGTTCAGCCTCGTCTTCGGATGGCAGTCGTCATCGGATGGCAGTCGTCATCGGAGCGTCGTGGACTTTCTTCCAGAGTCATGTTGCTCATGTGTATAGCTTGTATCTCCCCACAGACGGTGTCAATTGTTGATGCCTGGATTTTGGTCTTCCCTGTTCTCTCCAAAATGTGCACCAAACTTGATGATCAAGGGAYCAAATACCTGCAAAATCGAGTAACTCTAAACCGGTGTGACTAGTGTCACACGGGCTCTGATGCCTGAGTCAGCTATGGGAGAAATAACTAGGCAAGCAAGAGTACTTAGCATGTGCTTTTAGCTTACCTTGAATGGGTGATTCCCCCCTCCTATTTATGGTTGATCTTCTCCTTAGGGTTTCACGAATTCCAACCCTAGGTCATCTCACGATAATTGGGCTCATTGGGTCATGATACGCGTGGGCCTATAGGTTGGGATGTCCCCAGTAATAGGAGACAAGGAAGAACGGGGCTCGGTCTTGGGTCG